TCTGTTGTTTCTACCTTCTGACGTTTTTCTTACATTAAACAATGTTGGTGCCAGCCCATCACCCTATTTGAATATTGTCAACCAGTGGACTTTAAATAGTTGCCTGAGAATGTACGCTGTACATGGTTAGGAAGATATTTGTACGGTAGTTTATGTTCAAATGATGCAAAAAATTTCGACACATAAAAGAGTCCACCAATAATTTGGTCCGTCCAGTCTCTCCATCAGATGAACAAAACAGACATATGTTTTGTTTATCTGACTCAAACTTTTTCCTACGTTAATCATTAGCGTGGCAATTTTCTATTACATAATTCATAATCTTAGTTATAAAATGCGTTTTTGGCACTCACAATGGCTATCACAATTCTACTTTGTACACATAAAATGTATCATTCTCTTATACCTACACTATACTTTATAGTAGAATCTTTATACTAGAACAGCATATTAACGTTTATTTCTTTATTCTTATATTTATTTATCAGCTGCATATGTAAATAAGTCTGGATAATATGTCATTTGGCGCTTTTGTATAGCCTCAGATATTTCGGAATTCCACGCTCATCTAGGTCATTCTCTTACTCTATCTTCAGGTGGTTTCAATCTTCAATCTTTTTGTAAAAGTTTATTATGTTTTTCAAACGTTCAAACTAGAATTATTCCATAAATTTGGATGTAGCTCTCAAACCTTTACACTTCCCTTGATACTTTATTTTTAATGCCAGTTTTGTCTTTCGTTAATGTGACCCCTAAATACTTATAGACATATATGTTTATTCTAAATTTGTTAGACATGCGTTCTCTTTCTATCACGATATAGCGGGTTTTTCTCATCTTGATTTCAATGTTTTCATCGTTTCTTTTCTTACTCGGGAAAGCGAAACGTGTTCATCGTTCGCTTACGAGGCGGCAACTATAACGGTATTCTTGAGCCAAGACCACGGATTGATGTTCCGTTTCTTTGTGTTGTTCATCGATTTCGTTCCGATAAAGCTTGCCTTTCGAATACCCGGGCGAGCGTTCGTTTGCTTCGTTTCGAGCGTCAACTTACCTCCAACCTAATTTACGGTACATCTGTACAAAAATAACGCAGATATCTAAAGGCCAGCTTAGCGAGGACAGAAACGTCGCGTAGATCAAAAGGGCAAACACTGACTTGATCCTAATGTTCAGTATGCATAGGGACTGCAAAAGCACGGCCTATCGAACCTATATGGCTTGAAGAGTTTTTAGCAAGAGGTGTCAGAAAAGTTAACACAGGAATAACTAGCTTGTGGCGGCCAAACGTTCATAGCGACGTCGCTTTTTGATCCTTCGATGTCGGCTCTTCCTATCATTCCGAAGGTGAATTCACCAAGCGTTGGATTGTTCACCCATAGACAGTGAACGTGAGCTGGGTTTAGACCGTCGTTAGACAGGTTAGTTTTACCCTACTGATGACTCGTTGTTACGATAGTTATCCTGCTGAGTACTTATCCTTTGCATTTTATGCATATCCTTTCTAAGTGCAAGGGTCAAAAGTGGCAACGATATCTACCTATCTATAACGAGAGTCGAAAAGCTCACAACAATGTGACTTTACTAGTCATTCATAGTTTGCTATGATTGTCGCACGAGCCCTTAGTTCCGTTGAGATTATCGGTTTACTGTGGAATTAATCCTTGCCTTAGACCAGATCTTTATACGGACGAACATGGGTATTTTAATCTTTTCGATGTTGGAACTCGGAATTTTCTGTATGCCCTATGTTGTGTATCCATCTACTAATTTTCTGAACTTGTAATATACTATTTGTCCTTTTCTAAGTGTACAGCTATCAGCTGGCATGTCATTATCCAGATTTTATTGTTCTTTTCTATACAAACAGATCGCTTACTACGTTTTCGTATACTTAAGATACATTATCGATATATTGTTGACTTATAAAGTAGACAATATATTATGGTTTAAAGCCGATTTATTCTTCGTATTTATTGTTCTTCGATTTTCGATTTTATTATGCAACTGTACAGTATACCTATAGAGGATCGAGTTTATATATGCTTTTACTTGCACGTATTTCTGCATCGATCATAAAATTGTTGAAAGCTTTTTAGTTTTTAGTTTTCACAGTCCTGGAATGGTCCGCAGCATTTTTAATAAGCTTTTTGGTTATTTCTTTAAGTCCTGGCTTCCCAAGTCTTAGCTTTATCCATTGCTATTTCTCGTTCTTACATATAAACTTATTTTTACCGTTATTTTTCCTAAAAATCAAATTAATTTATCGTTAATAAGTTCAGGTAGTATTTTTTCTAATTCGCTAAAGTCTTGTCAATCTTCTGTAAGTTTACTGCGCATTAGTTTTAACGATAAGTCTTGCATACTTTGCTGGATATCGAAAACTTCAAAAATACCTATTTATGTCATCATACTTTTTGTTTCTGTTATTTTTATTTTTTTTTTTACTTAATATCTTCACCTGTTATATTTATTTTAGCATCTAACTCTCTAGTTGCTAACCGTGTCAAAAGGGCCTTATTTTTTGTTAACGAGTTGTTAAAAGACTATATCAGCATCAAAAATACATATTCTGGAAGCTCACAAGTAATGTCAATATTTTGCATGAGAATTATCGATGTCATGTGGCTCATTCTGTCCAAGATTCGTGTGCGATTATGAAGTTACCCTCTTAACTTATCTTCGTGTAATTAATATGTGTGTTATCCTTAAAAATAATGCGAAGAACAAGTATCATGGAGAACAAGTATCATGGTCGCAGTTTAGATTCCGCGATTCCTTAGGCACCCGAGAGACTCTATTCGCTGTCCAAGTACTTATGCAAAGATGCAGGGATGTGAACTGTGATGTGTATACTTGTTTTATCGACTACAAAAAGGCATTTGATAGAGTAAAGCATGATAAACTTATAAACATCTTGAAAGAAGTGGGGTTAGATGATAGGGACTTGAGAATCATCTATAATTTATATTACAACCAAACAGCCAATATTAAAGTGGATGACCAATTGACAGAGGCAGTCTCCATAGATAGAGGAGTGAGGCAAGGATGCATTCTGTCACCGGTGTTATTTAATATATACTCTGAATATATCTTCGAGCAAGCGCTAACAGAAGTACAAGAAGGCGTATTAGTTAACGAAATGCTTCTAAATAACATTAGATATGCCGACGACGCAGTAATTTTTGCAGATATTCTGGACGGTTTACAAAAAATAATGTCGCGTATATCAGATATAAGTAGAGAACACGGACTTGATCTTAAAATCCCATTGACAGAGTGGACAGCTACACATACCTTGGTACCAACATTAACAGCCAAGAAAAAGCGAGATCAGCGTTCATAATGATGAAGTCTCTTTTCAGAAGTCACGATTTACCACTTGCTACCAAAATTTCTCTCATTAGTGCTATGTATTTTCTACGTTATTATACGGAGTAGAGACCTGGACACTTTCCGAAGCTTCTTTAAGAAAACTCGAGGCATTCGAGATGTGGTGTTACAAACGTATTTTAAGAATTTCATGGTGGATCGTGTGACTAATGTTGAGGTCCTACGTAGAATAGTCAAGTAATGCGAGATTATTAACACCATCAAAGAGCGCAACCTAGAATATCTTGGCCATATTATGAGGAATGAACAGAGATACGGCTTGTTGCAACTCATTCTTCAGCGCAGGGTATTTGGAACGAGAAGACCAGAGAGAAGAAGAATATCTTGGCTTCAAAACCTGAGAAAGTGGTTTAATACATCGACAACCGGACTATTCAGAATAGCAGCAAGCAAAGTGACCACGAGACTCAATTCTGACATAAAAGTAGAAATTGTTGTTAAGTAATGGTTACTCAGTTATTTTGAATTATTTAAATAAAAGAACTCATATCTTAGTACTAATTATGATTTAAAGATTTCTTAGTAACTTTTTACTTAGTAAAGATTTCTTATGTATTGGTGGGATAAAGCTCACAGTCTTAAACATGCTTCCACGTATCAGTATAAGTACCTGGTATATTTCAAGAATTTTGCAATTAGATTTTTATTTTTCACCCTGTAAAACAGTTCTTATATACTATAATAATATCAGTGTGTTGCATATTTAACTTACTCATTCTCTTGTAACTTATGGACTTTGTCGTTTTGATTATGACATTATAATTAAAGATGATACATTGTTGTGTAATCACAATATGCTTGTATCAACTTTCGTAAAAAATATTTTTATATATACTTAATCAAATACTCTGTTAGAAATTAGTTAAAAATAAACTATTTGTTACACTTTTTAGCTCAAAATTCTGTATATTGGTATTTCCATGACAAGTAATTTAACATTTTTTTCTTTTTTTGACTTCTTTTGTAGTATATTTTCTACCTCCCCTTTTGCATTTCTTATTTTTGATTTCTTTAACATTCTAAATCTTTTTTTTTTCTTTATTATTTCCTAAACATTTTTTAAATCTTAACCTAGATATTTTCTCCCTTCACTTTCTTCATTACCACTTATATATTTTATGTGTATTCATGATTTTGTTAGAGCTTCTATTATGTTTTTCCGTATCTTCCATTTGTTATTTTATTAAATCGACCATGAACGAGGATCAAAAGGCAAAAATTTTTTAGCCATATTAAAATTAGGATGAATAAAATTGTCTCACCGAAAGATAATACCATCAAGTCCATCTTCAGGCCAACAAAGTGGATACAAAAAATATGAGATCGGACAAAGATCCAAGAATTTACCTTACATCATCTTTATCTGTTTGTTAAAAATTGTGTTAATTTTATTTGATAATAACCGTATTTCCTCCAATTGTTTCACTACCTTCTATTTGTTTCCTCTTTTTCGACTTCTATCCCTCTCACTTCTTCCTTTCGTTTTTATCTTCTCTTTTAATATGTTTTAGTGTATTATCCTTGGCTTACATTTGTTTCTTTTCTTTTTGATCATTTTTTGCACAACGTTATATAGATCGTGTCTAATTTTATCTGTTTATTTTTAGTACTATTGACCTCATTCCTGTAGAAGACAGACATGGCGTTATTCCTAAAGGAAATGGAGTAAGTTATATTTTTATTTTTACGAATTTAAGCTACACAATCATAATTTTTTAAAAGTTTATGAACTAAATGCGAGAGATTTTTTATAGTAGGTATTTTTATCTTGTCTAATTAATATGTAATATAAACAAATATTTTATAACAAAAAATATTTAACGATATTATCAAGGTCAGTTGAATTAAAATTAATACTTCCTAGTTTGTTTTGATCAAATTGTTATTAATTAGTAAATGTTTTAGTCCCGGAACGGATACAGCAAAATAGACGTCTGCTGTACTGGATATGAAAGAGTTCCAAGAACCCACTTGCTTTGTGAGCCTGTCTGTGATCACTGTGAGAATGGTAGGTGTCAAAATATTTGTATCATAAACAAAATTGTATAAACTATTCACTTTTTAGGTAACTGCACATCTCCTGGTCATTGCGAATGCAAGCGAGGATGGATTCATGATCCCTACCATAAAGACTGCATCCCTACTTGTCCAGAAAGGTGTCTGAACGGTGTCTGCACCATCACTGGCCAATGTTCCTGTAATGCCGGAAATACACTCAGCTCCAACGGAAAATACTGCCTCCCTCACTGTAGCGGAGGTTGTGGTGTTGGTGGAAACTGTGTAGGTCCTGAAACTTGCGCTTGTGACAAAGGGTAAGAACAGCATTTCATTCACTGTCATCAGGAATAATTGTGTTTTTTTAGTTTCTCTTTAGATGCAAGAACCCGCAAATGCAACTATCATTGCGAAGGAGGCTGTGGAGAAGGAAGCTGCATTGGACCAAATCAATGTTCTTGCAAACCAGGATATAGACAAGCTGGACACTCTTGTGTACCAGATTGCCCAAGAGGATGCCACAATGGAGATTGTGTAGCACCAAACAGGTAAGAATCATATTTTTTCCTTCCTAAAATAAACAATCTGTCTACTCGTTTTACATTTTCAGGAAACTATTTTTTATATTTTTTTTATTCTTTAGATGTTCCTGTAAAGCTGGATGGGCTTTGGATGGTACTGGAACCGTTTGTACCCCTCACTGCAATCAACCTTGCCTCAATGGTGACTGTATTGCTCCCAATCAATGCAAATGTAAAGAAGGTACTACTTTTTTGTACATAAAGTGAAATACTTTACCTTTCCATTAACAAGTAGTTTGACAAAATACAATAATTCAACATTTTCATTATAAAAATATGTAAACGATTTTTCTTGATGAAAAAACAAAGTAAATTGGATTAATTAATTATTTGTATAATTTTTTTAGTATATTGAGATACATAAATTATTTTTTATTTGTCTATAGGATACATTGAAGCTCCACACTCCGTTAGAAGCCAGACCTGCGTAGCTCACTGTCCAGGAGGTTGCCCTAATGGCTCTTGTACAGCCCCAAATTTCTGTATTTGTAACCCCGGCTTCGTAAAAGAACGTAAAGGAAGCAACAACTGTGTTAAAAGATTCAAGAGATCATTGATGCACATGGAGTTGATTCCTGAAGCAATTTTACAAGGACTGTAAACTGTTAGTTTGTATATTTGTTTGTGACGATATTTTTTATTGTAAATTTTGAGATTTTGTACATTTTGATGTATTTTAAAATATGAGACTTTTAATAAAGTTATAACGAAGTTGAATATCTTCATTATTACTGTAGAGTTCATAGACTGTGTACTGGTATCATACAAATGTTGAGAATTATAGGTGACCACTGTTAAAGAACACTACAAGTGATTATTTTAATATTACTTGCTACAAATGCTGCTAAGACTAAAAATAATATGCAAAAAGCTTTAAGGTGTACTATTATCGTTTAAAAATTGCAAAGCTACGATAATATACGATGTTATACTAGACACTATAAAACCCATCATGGTGAAGTTCACATCAAAGAAACCAGCGGCAGACAAGGAGGTAGAACTATATACAACCTGTTGCACCAAAAAAGTCAGCTGGTCCAGCAAATTATGGTTAATAATCTTATTTAAGTCTGAATTGTTTATAATATCATAGCAGATCTGTACTGTATTCTTACTTTCTTTACACAAGTAATGACTCGCTGCAGCTATGGAGAATGTTGTTACCTGAAACAGAACCAAAGGTAAAAAGTCCATCACAAGATTTAACAAAAGTAACACGTTGTTAGGTCGCACATGATATTTTATTGAATAAAAGAATGAAGGTACTAAACTAATCAGAGATCGAGAGAAAGCTCGAAACTAAAGTGGAAGATCAAGTGAACAGGGCAGAGTCGCAGGCTGAATAAATGAAACAATATGAAGAAATAAAAATATCAGGAAAGAAATGAAAGGCAGAATTTACAAAAGAGTCATCAGACGAATAATGGCATCTTCTTCTTTAGCCTGTATTCGTCCACTGTTGAGCATAGGCCTCTACCATTTGCTTCCATTGATTTCTATTCGTGGTAATTCTCATCCACTGATTGCCCGCAACTTGTTTAATACCATCTGCTTACCTCTTCTGTGGTCTGCTTACTACTCGTCTGTTCTCTCTTGGTCTCCAGTTTGTTAATCCCTGTGTCAATTTTTCGGGATTATCTCGGACAACATGTCCGACCCATTACCACTTGAGCCTTGCTATACGTTTTGCAACATCAGTAATCTTTGTTCTTTCACAAATGTTGATATTTAGAATTCTGTTTCTTAAACTTATCCCTAGCATTGCCCTCTCTATCGCTTATCGCTTTTTTTGTTGAACTGAGTTGCTTTAAGGTTTTCTTTGTAAAGACCATGGTCTCCAGTCCATATATAATTAAAGGCAAGATCCATTTTTCATAATCTCTACGTTTTAGACACATTGGAATATCTTTAATCTTCAAGATAAAGCTTAACTTGCCGAAAGCTACTTATGACAATTGTATACGTCATTTTATTTCGGCTATATATATATATATATATATATATATATATATATATATATATATATATATTTATATATATATATATATATATATATATATATATATATATATAATATATATATAATATATATATATATATATATATATATAGTGGTTTACATTTTCAAGACTGACGTTGTCAATAACAATATTAGTTTGTGAATTACTCAATATTTTTGTTTTCTGAAGGTTCATTTTAAGACCTATTTTATTTGACTGCTGATTTAATTCCTTGAGCATTTGCTCCAGTTCCTTGATATCTGTACCAAATATTACTATGTCGTCCGCAAACCTCAAGTGACTCAAACATACACCATCAAAGTTTAGACATTTTTGCTCCCAGTCGAGCTATTTGAATACATTTTCCAATGCTAAGGTAAAAAGCTTTGGTGAAATAGTATTACTTTGTCTAATACTCTTACCAAGACGCATTTTTTCAGTTTTTTTCACCATTTTTAATTTTAATGTGGAATGTGGCCTGTTCATAAATGTTTTTAATAAGTTTATAGTGTACTGTGAGTATATTCGAGCATCCCTCAGGGCTGACAAAAAGGACCAAGTTTCAATACTATCGAAAGTCTTGTTAAAGTCAATAAATGCAATATGTAGAGGTACATTATATTCTGTGTTTTTTCTTCCAGTGTTCTAATGGTTTGTACATAATCGTTAGTACCAAAACCCTTTCTAAATCCCGCCTGTTCAACATAAAACATAAGTTGGTTATTATTCTTGTTAGCAATTTGTATAAGTGTACCAACAAACTTATAGGTTTGTAGGTAGTTTTCAATATTAGTTGTGTCTCTTTTCTTGTGTAAAAGTATTGTTTCGACATTTTCCCACAGACTGGCTATTCGTTTTTCTGTTAGACACTTATTCAACAAAACTTCCACAACCTCTACAACGATGTTGGAGTCCATTTTTAACATGACAGACGTTATACGATCCTCACCAGGAGCTTCTTTATTGTTGAATATCATTTGCTGTAAAGCATGTCTAATTTCCGAAGAAGTTTTTTTAGGGAGTGTTTCCGAGCCGACGTTTAGAATTGTTCTATGGTCTGTTCCGGGTTCTGTATAGTAGATGTATACAGATTCTCATAGAACGTTTATATTTCCTTAATTGTTTGAGTTTTTTGCGTTTACCGTATTCCCCTGTTGGATTTTGATTTTAGTTATCTTTGATTTTCATTTGGTTAAATTTGATTTCAATACTCTCATGTTTCTATAATAAGGCTCCTTAAATGTAATGTGTACTCAGTGCTTTTGTACGAAGTAGAAACGTGGACATTGAAGGCGGAAACTCTATCAAAACTTCAGGCTTTTGATCTATGGTCATACAGAAGGATCTTAAAGATACCATGGACAAAGTCACCAATGGAGAAGTACTGCGAAGAATAAACACAACTGCGGATTTGGTCAACATCGTGAAGGGCTGTAAGCTGCAGTACTTGGACCATATAAAGAGAAATCAAGGCAGATACGAGCTACTTCAATGCATTTTACAAGGTAAAATTGAAGGAAAAAGGGCGCTAAGACGAAGAAGAATGTCCTGGCTTGCTAACCTGAGAGCATGGTATAGAAAGACCTCAAGACAGGTATTTCGTATAGCAACCAACAAAGTCATCATAGCTAGAATGATCGCCAACTTTCGGAACGGACAGGCACCCTAAGAAGAAGACTCTCATGTTTCTAGTGTTTGTGATGGTTTGCAATATTTGGATTGTTTGATAGTCTCGCAAGTCTGACTTGATGCTCTTTTTAACTTTATTGTTGATTTAATTTTGTTATTGCCTTATACTCTGGTGATTCTTTCGATGTTCTTCTTTCTTCCACTAAATCCAGTGTTGTTTGTTTAAATTTCGTTTTTCTCGGATTTTTATTTTTACCACAGATCTTTTTTGCAGTTGATGTTATGTCATTCGTTAATTTTTGTGTTATTTCATTTATATATTTCGTGTTGAATACTGGTAGAGGTCCTAGTATCTTTTTACATATGTGGCAGACGTATAAAAATAAATAATGACATACGTAGCAGAAACACGGCGTGATACAGAAAGGATCAAAAAGATGTTAGAAACAGCAGAGATGAAAACACTATATGACACAAATGCAAGGCAGAGAATATTGAGAGCTGGGTAAGAAATAAAATAAATAAAATAAATAAATATAATATAATATATAATAAAATAAAATAAAAATAAATAAAATAACCACAATATTTATTACACTGGAGGAGACAAAACTGATCATCGATACGGAGTAGCATTTATCATAAGCAACACTATTAAAAAATCAGTGTTAGGTGTGATTCAAATCTCAGAAAGAATAATAATGCTAAAAATTCAAGCACGGAACTGTAATATTAATATGATCCAAGTTTACGCTCCCACTGCTGATAAGACCGAAGATGAGATCGAAAACTTTTATTTAGAATTGCATAATACAATCAAGTTAACAAAATCTAGAGATATTACTTACATTTTAGGAGATTTTAATGCAAAAATTGGAGTAGGTACAGTTGAAAATATAGTTGGACAGTTCGGACTAGGAACTAGAAATGAGAGAGGAGAAAGGCTGATAGAATTCTGCCAAGAAAAGAATATGGTAATTGCCAATACTTGGTTTCAGCTTCCTAAAAGAAGACTATATACATGGACGTCTCCTTCACATACAGAAAACCACATTGTCAGAAACCAGATAGACTTTATACTCGTAAATAGCAGATATAAAAACTCTATAACCTCAGTTAAAACTTATCCTGGAGCAGATGTTAACTCAGACCACAATCCGCTAGTGGCTGACGTGAAAATAAAATTAAAAAGAATTGAACTCAGAAAACAACAACCAAAAATTAACGTAAGAATGCTACAAAACGAAGAAATAAAAAACGAAATAAAAAATAATGTGAATGTTAATATGCAAAAAACACTAACTGACAACAAACAAATTATGGATGTAAATAAAAAGTGGTGTAATATAAAAAACACATTACTGAAACCAGCTCAAGAAAGTTTAATAGAACATAAATCAGAGGCTAAAAAACACTGGATGACAGAAGAAATACTATTACTGATGGAAGAAAGAAGGAAATATAAAGGAAAATATCTACAGAAGTATAAAGAAATACAACGAATAATTAAGGAAAAAATCAAAACAGCTAAGGAAATCTATTTGATGAAGCAATGTAAAGAGATAGAAGAACTAGAAACAAAATATGATATGAGAAATATGCACAAAAAAATTAGAGAAGTGACTGGAATGGGTCGAAATAGACAGCAAGGACACATAAAAGACAAAAAAGGAGTACTACTAGTAGATTTACCAGAGAAGTTAAAGCGATGGGAGGAGTACGTTAGAGAACTTTTCCAAGATGAAAGAGGTGAAATGCAGAAAATACAAGAATTAAATCCTTTAGAGATACAGAAGATCACGATAGATGAAATCAAATATGCTATCAAAAACTCTAAAGACAATAAGGCAGCTGGATTAGATGAAATACCAGTAGAACTCTTAAAACTAGTGGAAGAAGACAACTTGGAAGTATTGGCAGATTTATTCAACACAGTGTACGATACGGGAATAATACCACAGGAGTGGCTAAAGTCAGCATTTATAACCATCCCTAAAAAACAAGCAGCAAAAGAGTGCTCTGATTATCGAACACTGAGCCTCATGAGTCATACTTTAAAAGTTCTGCTAAAAATAATACATAAGAGGA